AAACAAGATGTTAGCTAAAGTAATTGCATGTTACAGAGGGCGAGATATGTTAATACTAACCGTCACTTGGGTGTCTGCAATACGATGAGCAGCTACAATCCAACCTGTCTGCAAATCTGGACTAAAATATTCCACAGCATAGCTGGAAGTAATAAATGAATATTTGTTTAATATATGAGCATGAAAACTTCAATGTTTCTATGTCATTCACTAAGTATAAAAACCTTTTTATATTTATTTATCTAACAATAACTTACCCTATGATTGGACCAACAGCGCCTGGTTTCTCTTGGCTCTTGGCCCATCTCAGCGAGATGCTCGTGCGTGTCACATTAATGACTTTGGGTGTGCCGGGTGGGGCGGGATAAGTACTGGGATCCGCAACACGATGCAGCGTGGCAGAGCCGCTCTTCTCCACCTATAAGTAAAATCGGTACAAGATTAGATAATCAAATAAGCACTTACATTGACCTGTAGACTTACTCTTAGAGCAGCAGACCAGCTGGATTCGCCGCGTTCCGAGGAGGCGGTGCATGTATACACGCCAGAATCGCTCAGCTGCAGATCTGTAATAGTGAGAGAATAAGTTAATGAATCTATTGTAGGTAACTCTTTGCGCCGTACCATCTATACGTAGGGAGCTGCCTTGAACGATGCTGTGACGATTGCTTGTCTGCACCGCATAGCCATCGTGGAACCATTTGACGCGTGGTGTCGGGTTGCCCGTGGCGCGACATGGCATTGTGGCTACCGAGCCCTTGGAAAGTGTTTGATTCGCGGGTCCAATTTGTATGATGGGTGGCGGGCGTTCATCGACCGTGCTCACTTGCAAATAGACGCGCACCGTGGATGAGTCAACGATACTGAAAGCGGAGCAGACATAGAAGCCCTCGTCATCCTGCTGCACATCGTTAATCTGCAGCGTGCCATCGGCTGAGATGTGCTGCCGTCCATGCGAGCTGTTTGGAAACATGAGCGTAGACACGCCCTCCTTGGTCCAGAATACAGATGGTGGCGGATTGCCTGTGGCCACGCAAGGCAGCTGCACATGGCCATTGAGGCCGATTTTCTTATTGGTCGGCTTCTTGGAGAAATTTGGCGGAGCTGTGAAAAAAAAATTAGCCAATTAGCTTAGGCGCAAGATTAAACCTTTGATGAAGCGGTGTACCGTGTACGGTAAGCGTGGCTCGAGCGCTGATCTGGCCCACATTGTTGTGCGCCTCACAGACATAGGTGCCTTCGTCGTTGGGCGTTATGTTGCTCAACTCGAGACTCGTCTCGTCGTGTAAGATGCGCGCTCGAGAGACCGGTATGTTGCCTTCCTCCTTCTTCCACAGCACCTTGGGCGGTGGATCACCGCCTACAGAACAGTGAAACGTCGCTGTTTGGCCATAGACCAGAGTCAAATCTTTGGGCTGCTTCATGAAGTATGGCTTAATCTGTACAATCAACTTGGCATTGCTGGATTCGCGTGAGCCCAACAGATTTTGGGCAATGCACTTGTAATTGCCCTCATCGATGGGCTCCACGTTGCTGATCAGCAAATTTCCACCATCCACGATGCGAACGCGTGAGCTGGTGCTAAAAGGCTTCGAATTCAAGTCATCCAGCGGAACGTCATTCTGAAAACAAGAAACACAAATAAAAACTGGGACACGTATTGCTTCAGATTTGCTTTTAACTTGCCTTCATCCAGATAATGGTCGGCTCTGGTATGCCTTTGGGCGGCCCACATTCAAGCAGCGCCGTCTCGCCTTTGGCCACGCGCGTATCTTTGGGCTCCACGCGAAAATCGTCGCGCAATACTGCAAGAAAGAAACAAGGTGTCAAACAATTCGGCGAGTGTGGGTTAACAAGTTGGTGGTGGTTGTATAGCCTACCAGCTATTTGAAGCGAGGCATGTCGACTGACGGCTTTGCCCACGTGGTTTTTGGCCACACACCAGTACTCGCCGCCGTCCTGCTCCTTCTTGCTCTGCATGGTGCGATAGAAAAATAGAGCGCCGTCTTTAAAAAGTACACGATGCGATTTCTTTTCAATCGTATTGACCGGTTCGCCATCCTATTTGGGAGTAAATATATATATATATTATATAGAGTATATTTCTATTGGAGTAGTTAACATACCTTATACCACTCAATGGTGGGCTCCGGCTTGCCCTCCACCTTACAATTGAGCGTTGCGGGCTCATTCTTCTTAACGACCAAATCTGTGGGATGCTCAATAATGCGTGGCGATTGATATTGAGCTGTGAAGAGAACAAATATATATTGGAATATGTCAAGATGATTGGGGCATGTGGCTTAAATGGCTTTACCTTTAGCTGCGGGCAGCGCTAGGGCCAGCAGCAGCAGCAGCAGCAGCAGTTGATGCAGTGGTTGCTGCCTGGGCATGTTGTTTATGTTTGATGCTGAATGATAGTAGTTAGTGCTCCAGATGTAACGATGTCGATGTCGATGCGATGTATATATATACATATGCATATGTATATTACATATATATAGATGTTGCGCAGTTGTGAGTTGTGGCATTCATTTTTTATATATTATTTTATCGTTGCTAATGGCATGAAAAATGGCAAAGAATGCGACAGCTGTTAGTTAAGAGGAAGCACAATAAACATACAAATACTGGTAATATACAGTATGTCATAAAAGTATGTTTACTAGCAATAAAAGGTGTTGCATTCAAAATTAATTTACCTAAATTTGTGAATTTATTATTAATTTGTAAATATTTTTATTTCATTTTTAAATACTTTTATATATGTGTATATGTGTATATAAGTCTGCCCACTTTTACAACATACTGTATGCATCTAAGTGCTGTATATGTGGGCGTGAGAGAGGCGTGTCGGCATTTGCATATAAAGTATTTGACAATTACAAACCTCTTTTCTATTTCCTCGTTCTATCTTGTCCACTTCACTTTTTATCTTCGAATTTGTTAAATATTATTCGATGCCTGCTCCAGTTAGATTTCCATGCAGGCAGCTCGAGGCGCCCAAAATCGAAGACGACGTCGACGTCGACAATGACGACATATGCATATATAGATAAGCAATGCAGAGCACTCAGCGCGCAACACCAATAAAATTATATATACTTATTTGTGTCTATGCTTTCCCATTAATTTGGTTGAGTTCTTTTCTTTTTTATTTCTGTATTTATCTCTCTTTATGTTTATCTCGCCAGCGCCTACGGCGACGGCGTGGCCCAAAAACTCGAAGAAAAAGACAAATTTACAATCCAAATGCAGCGAGGCGAAGTTTTGATTTTGATTGCTTTTTCGTTTTTATTAAGAGTTTCTCACACTTTCTTTTCACTTAGTTCGAATTATATCGTATCGTATTTATTTTCGATGTTATTTTTATTATTAATCACAAAACAAAAACTTTAAATCGTAACTAAAACGATTTAGCGTTGGGTCTTCTCTTTCTCTCTCGCTCACTTTGTCCTTTTTAGCTTGTTGTTTTTGTCTTTTAGTCGTTTGCGTTTTTGGGGTTGTTTCTCTTTCTCAGCCTCATTTCCGCATTTTCCGAATGAAATTTCTTTTTGGTAATTTTACAAGAACAAGAACATGCTCCTGCTGTTTCAGCCGTTCGTCAGTTCACCATTCACCGTTCCCGTTGCTATTGCCGTTCCAACTGCCAGGCCAGCCTTCTTGCTTGCCTGCCTGCCTGCTGGCTTGTTGTTGTATCTATAACAGTGCGTAGCGTACGTACAAATATATACACATACACATTCATGCACTCTCTTACACGCACACGCACACACACATGCACGTACACTTTGGTTTCGGTAGATACACAGATGTAAGAAAACACATCCGATTTTTACACCCGAAATGCGGGTTTGTTTTTGATGTTTATTCACTTGTCCATTGCATTTAATTTGTGCGCTGCATTAAACAGCAGCTGCAATTAACTTTTATTAATTAAACTCGCACTATTCTGTGTTTAATTCAATTTTTGTGTAAGCAAGTACTGGACGTGGGTTGTGTCTGTGGAAAACTGCGGAACAATGTGAATGTGAAACAAAAGAAAACAAAAAATACCATAAAAATAATATTTAACATCTGGCAACATTATTGGTGTTGCCGTAATGATAGGTTTGGCGCCATAAACTAAATATCACACACATTTGAAATATGTTAAATTATAATAGCAGCCACTTATTTCATAAATGATTTCAGTGCATTAGAATTTAGAAGTCCTTTACTAAAAACGGATTGATTCCAACTGCGCACTGCTTGTTATAAGAATTTTTGACTATCTGGCAGCACTGCAAGTGAACTGAGGCGCAAAAACTCAAATTTTCGTCATTACTTAAAATTTATATTTGTTTTTTTTATAAATTGGCTTAGGAGGACTTTAGTGTATTCAAACCTGGTCAAACAGGAGCTCAAATATTTTGATTGGTAACTCCAATGTCTTGCTCGTCAGAAAATAACCTACATATCAGCTTATCAGAATCCTTAGAGTTATTTAGCTCGACGCAGTAATGCAAACCATTATTATCCCATCGGACTGAATACCTGGCAATTATTATACTTGACACTGCCGATGTGGCACGGCTTAAGATCGCAGCATCGCTTGAGCGGCATACTTAAGTAATCGGGAACACTGCACGGGTATCCGCTGATGCCATGCTTTAAGCTGCAAGTTAACTTAACCCAGTTCATGTCGATCTTGTGCTGTCGCGATATTAACGCCTTGCGTACATCAGCCAGCTGGCAGCCGGATTTCGCTAGCTCCGTGTACAGCTTCCGGTAGCTGTTTGGCAAATGAGCATGGGTATAGAATACGGCATTATTTCCAGATAGCTTATTGCCAAACGCCTGCGTTGGGCAACGGATTAGCGAAAAGCCCTTGCTAATATTACGATATCGTTGCATTGCTTGAGTTTTAATGTTAACTGCCTCCAAAACTTAATTTTCTGTTGTCTTAAATTCTTATTGCAATGATTTATTTTTGTTATTTTTGTTCAGTTATATAAATATTTTATAAATGCCTCCTAAGCTCTAAGCTAGCCAACTGAGGCCTGCCTCTGAGTAGGTTTCGGGAACGAATGAGATTTGAAATGCCTGCCTCACAGCTAGCCAAATGTGTTCCAGCTGTACGTGGGGGTGGACGTCGGCTGGTTGCCACTGCGCTTTTCACCTGCTTCGGCTGCAAACGCAGCTGTGTGACGCGGTCCACGGACATGCTCTTAGGTCGACGCGATAGATAATCGTGTATGTGGCTATTGGAGCCGTTGCTAATGTTCAGATCGATCAGATAGTCCTGCAGCTCTGCCTTAAGTTTTGCATTTTCCGCCTCCAAATTGCGTTTCTGCTGCTTGAGGCAAGCGACATCGACGGAGACATTGTTAACGCGTCGCCAAAAGGTTTCCATTTGTGGCAACGCGGCAACTTCCTCCTGCAAAGCAAATCTCAATGTACTCCGAGCACCTCTCTCTTGCCTGCTTACCTTGAGTGGATCATTGGCCGTTGGAGCGTCATCCTCGCCAGGCGTTTGCAGCTCGCGTATCTCAATTATCTCTTTTGAGAGTTGAGGCAGCAGAAACAGTTTCTCTCGCTGCGTTTCCATTTTGCCGCAAATGCGCGACAGCTGAGACAAGGTTTCGCATTTGCTTAGATGTGCCTTGAGTGTCTGTGGTAGATATAAAGCAGAAATTTGTTGATCATCTTTGGGGCTAACAATATTTCTTTCTCCCTGTCTCTGTCGTGAGTTACAGTATCCAACTATTCGCTCACACTCTCCTCTCACCCATTCGACTCATTCTTTCTTCTTATTCTCTCGACTCACTCTCTCCTCTTACTTCCTTTTTCGCTCTTTCTTCCATTTTTTTCTGTCACTCCGTTACGCTCTCCTCTCTTTCTCTCTCTCTTTCTTCTTTTTGTCTGTCACTTCTCACTTTTCTACTCTCTCGCTTCTCTCCTCTTTCCCTTTCTTTACCTCTCTCTCTCTCTTCCTGCTTTCTGTCTATCACTCATTTACTTTTTGTATCTCTCTCTCGCTCTTTCTCTCTCCCTCTCTCCAATACCCACCTCTATAGCTTCATAACTCTCCACGGTCATTTGCTTGAATAGCTTGTGCTGCTGTTCCACTTCCTTTTCGACGCAGCTGCGCAGCTCTCGTAGGCGATCGGTGAGCTGCTGCTTGATGTTTTGCCTCTCGTGTAGCTGCGCCTGCTGCTTGATTTGCTGCTCCTCGGCGAGCAGGCGAAGATTGCCCAGTTGCTCAATCAGATGCTCAATCTCATAGCTTTGCTGGCTGATCTGTTGGGCGCTCTCCTCGTCGCGTTGCTTCAGATCCACATACTCGGAGTAGAAGCCTTCGATGTGCTTGCCATAGCCGGCTAGAACCGATTGATACTCCTGCCACAATGCCTCCAGCTTGCCCTCGCCCCGGCCCGTAATCTTTTCCAGCTTCAAGTGCATCTGAGATTTGATGGGAATCATGTCATATTTTGTGTATGGCCCCATTGTGTGTCAGTCAAGCGCTTCGTCCATTAGTTCGTCAGCTGTCAACAGTCGCTGGCTATAAATGTCGAATGCAGTGCCGAGCTCTTAACAAACAGTACTTGAGATGCGTCTGCTGCTGTTGCTTCTGCTCAGCTTTAGCTGTAGCATAAACTGCTTCAAGTGTCGCTCGCAGGATGGTGCCAGTGATGCGGAGCTGAAACGGATTGTGCGCAGTTGCATGCAACGCAGTGGCAGCAATAGCAACCAGGAGGACAATGATAGACGCTATGGCAATGGCCGATACAATTTTGAGAGTGATGATTATGGACAGGTGCAGGATCGAGGACAGGGTCAAGGCAGACAACAGCAGCAGCAGCAGCAGCAGTCCTATGGCAATAGCTGGCAGCGCAGCGTCAAGCAAACTGACAGCAACAAGAACAACAACAACAACAACAACAACACTGCTGAAATGGGCGGATGTGTGGCGCTGTGTTTCTTCGAGGAAATGAACATGGTAAGTGAGCTATTATACTAGCTGTACACAAAATACATACATACATATGTATGTACATGTAGTTGTAGTTGTTAAGCTTATCTTTTATTGTCCTCTCTCTTACGCACTCAACAAGCTGAGCGCCATAAGCATAGTGCGATCAAACAGATGGCCGTTCTATGTTTCATTTCAGTAGTTCCTCATGCTAAAATTTTTGTCCATACTCTCATTGCTCTCTCAAATACATGTATGTGTGTAACAAAGGCTAAAAATAGATATTCCTATATTTGCGGTCTTATTTTTTCCCTTTTGAGAGGGCAGACTTGCAATACTGTTTAACCGTTTGCCAAGCTCATATGCTGTTTTTATGACTCTATTTTGAAAGGGTATTAGAGCGTATGCGCTAAAGCAGAAATTCTTATATTTTTTTCCGCTTATTTCTTTTTGCCAGAAGAAGGGGTAAGGCAAAATTGTTAAGCGGCTTGTCAAGTTCATGTAACATTTTATTTTTCTCATGATTATTTTATGGAAGGGTATCATTGCGTTGACGACCTTTATAAATGTCTGAGCTTTATGCATGAGCTTGCACGCAAGCATAAGCCAGCTTGTGTGTGTATATATCACAGCTACCCAACGGTTTCTTTAATTTTAGGTGGATGGCAATGGTCAGCCGGATCGCCGCAAAGTCAGCTACTTGCTGACAAAGGATCTGCGCGATCGAGAGTTGCGCAACTTCTACATGGACACAGTGCAGCAATGCTTTCGCTACATAGAACACTCTCGCTACAGCAACAATAACAACAACAATAAGTGCAGCCAGTCGAGGGAGCTCATCAAGTGCATGTCAGAGTATGCAAAGGCGCAATGCGACGATTGGGAGGAACATGGAAATATGATATTCAACTAAAAACTCTGGACCGTTACTTACGCCGCTCTTCAGATCCTCAACACGATCCAGATAGATTTCATGATTGTCTTTAACTGTACGATCGGCGGTCTCCTCTAGCTGATAGAAAACGCACTCGAGTTGCTGTTGCTTCTCCGCCTGCAAGTCCTTATAGATAGACGCATCCTGTTTATATTCACGCAGCACCGCTTGCTTATCGTCCTCGTAGATGCGCCAGAAGAACTGCATGCGACTACGATGTATGCCTGGTGAAGGGGAAATATTATTATAAAAACTTGTGTAGATATAGACGCAGATATTAAAGATTTAGCTTACCGATTATCTGATCAATGTTCTCCATATGCGACTGCTGCAAATTGGCGTACATGTCCTCCGTGGAATTGATGTCGCCTATGAGGCGCTGTATGACCTGATCCTTGCGCTTGAGCGCCTGCTCGAAGAACTGCGCCACGTCGAGAATTTCACGGCGTAAGTCCTGAATTTTCACCTGTCGCAAAATGGAACGCCATTCCTGATTGATTTTGGCCATGTTCAGGCGACAAAAGGCATCCTCGCGCTTCAGCTTGTTCTGCAAGGGCAATACACAGCCATGAGTTGGCCAATGCTAGGGTATCTGTCGGTCATTACCTTCATGTAGAGCGCTATAAGCTGCATTTTGCGTCGCCTCGTCTCCTCCTCCACATCGGCGCGCATTTGCAAATATCTGGCGCGCTCCTCCTCGGACATTTTGGCCAGCTTATTGCCTTTGCCTTTGCCCTTTTTGCCCATCTTCAAGTGTTTCTATTAATTGCTATTAAACGAAAGCTGCTTATCAAATTTCAAAGGCCAGTTAGTTCAACTAATTGAGCGTACACGACTGACTAGAGGCCAGACTAAAAAGTCCAAAAAACAACTGGAGAATATAATAAAAACAAGCTGCTGCCATGGCGACCCTCGCGCCGCCCTCCCTCCGGCGCCGGTTGTCAAGGGGTTGGCCGACATTAATGCTCGGCATTTGAGCGTGCATTAAATTAACGATTCGTACATTTCAAAGCCCATTAAAGCTTTGACAATTGATACGGGCTATGACTGGGGCTGACGCTATAAATGGGGTCTGTCCGGGGGCCAGCTGCAGCTCAGTCGTCAGCATGTGGCGATTGCTATTCGTTTCGGCTCTGCTGCTGGTAAGTCGGAACGAAGCTTTATAGTCTATAGCTACTTTATTGCCACGCCCACACAGGTGTATACCGCACTGGGCATACGCGTGAATTGCCGTCACATGGAGCGCATACACGAGGATCACATACACTACTGCTGCAAGCATCCGGATGGTCACAATGACATCAGCGAGCTCTGCGCCCAGCAGACTAACTTCAAGCTGCCCTCGAAGACGGAGGAGGCCATGGAGGACAACACTGTGGACGCTGTCATGACCGGCAATTGCTGGGCCAAGTGTGTCTTCGATCACTATAAGTTCATAGTGAACGACACCCTGGACATGCTGGCTGTGAGGAGTCACTATAAGACCGTGCACCGATTGGATCCGGAGTACGAGACTGAAATGTTGGCGGCTTTTGAAGAATGCCACTCGAAATGTAAGTGCAAAGGACTTCAATTACATATATTTATAGAGACCCATGTATAGCTCTTCATGTTGCCAGCTGAGGAAGCAATGGCCATATTTCTATCGATGCCCATTGTGCGCGCCTTCAGCAGTGCCAACAGCTGTAAGCCCCTGTCGAGCGTCATCTTATCCTGCGTGATTCAGCGCTTCTTCCATAATTGTCCCAGAAGTCGTTGGTCCAACACCACGGAATGTGTCGAGACTTTGGCGTTCTCCAAGCGTTGCAAGGATGTCCTGACCACCATGTGAACGAGGGAAACTAAGTTCTATATGTATTATTGAAATATATGAACAGATCAGCATATATATAAAGCTGAAAGCTTGGTTTTGACTTGAGTTAAGTTGCAACAGCTTGCAGTGCGCTTAAGCTGGAAGTGCCTGACTAGGAGATACCCGGAACTCTTTGGGTAAGAGAAGCGCAGAAAGGCTAAGATAAGCTTACGAAGGTTTAGAAATATTCAAAGCGGATGAGAAGTGAAGAAGCTGAGAGTTAAAGATAAGCTAAATATGTATTCGAGTTGGTGTTTGGCTAGAAGATGTCCTGAAAGGACTTTCTGATACCTTGAAGTCTTAACCAAAAGAGATGTTCACAAAGTATTAGGAATATTCATAGTTAAAGATAAGCTAGATAATTAAAAGCAGCTTAGAGTGTGTTCTATTTGAAAGTGCTCGACTAAAAAATACCCTGTATACTTTGAAGGTAAGGATGTACCGACTAGCAGTCTCTCTAGCAGCTCAGAGCTAGGAGATACTCTGAGCTCTTTGGCCAAAAGGAGTTAAGTAAGCAGAGGAATTCTAAAAAGAAACAACTTCAGCTTGAACATAAAACTTATTTATATTAAAGATAATATTTGCACTAAAAAATCACATAAATATACATAGATTAAGTCATTTATTTATCATATATATTTCAAGTTCATGAAGCTGTTTACAATGTAGCCAAAGAATCGCGACAATTTTCACTGAAAGTCAATAGATTTTCGCACTCCTTGGTCTTGGCCCAACGATCCTTGGGGCAATTGTGAAAGAATTGACGTATGACACAGGCCATAATGACGCCCGATTTGGGAGGACAGAAGTGCTGGGACATCTGCACAAACACATGATTCGACATGAACTTGGCGGTATTCTCCTCAGCTAAAAGAATATTTTTATGAATGAAAGGATGAGTTTCCTTTGGGTTTGCTTACTTTTGCCGTGACAGTGATCGAAGGCGTTGATCATTTCATTCACATATTCCGGATCATGGCTGAACTTCTCTGTGAGATATTTCCTAACGGCATCCATGTCCAAGTTGTTGTCCTTCATGAGGTTCATTTTGTCGAAGACGCACTTGGCGAAACAGGTGCCCGATATGGCACGCGTTGCTGTCAGATCGACCAGGGACTGCTCCTTGTCACTCGGCACCTTGAAGCCCGTCTCCTTGGCGCAGTCACTAATGATCTCGTTGTGTCCGTCCGGGTGCTTGCAGCAGTAGTGTATGTGATCCTCATTCACAGCATCCGTTTTGTCGCAATCGATTTGTATGGCCCCGGCGCACTATAGCGAGAGTATCTTAGAGGCTATCTGAGACCGAATTGACGCCGCAACTTACCCAGACAAGATAGAAGAGTGCCAAGGTGGTTAGCAGAAACATTTTGTTGCTCGACTTGGCTTGATTCTATCGCTGAGGCCTTTATATAGTTGCCTCTCCAATTACCTCTCAAATGTCATCTCAAATGAGGCTTGAGATCGACCGACTAATAGACTTGTTTATGTTGCGAGCCATTACACAACTGGAGCTGCAATTGTTCGTTACATTTAATTAAGCATTAAATATTCGAAATGTTATAAATGCGCGTATCCAACTTAACTACCTTTCATAGAGCGTAACGATGCGCTGTCAAACTTGCCTCTCGCTGCTGCTGCTGCTGCTGCTGCTTGGACTGGTCCAGGCTCAGGAGGACTCTGAGGAGGAAGCTGTGGAGACGAGCCCAATTGATGACATTACGTCAGAGCAGTGTGACAAGAAGGTTAGCAGCCATATCTTAACCAAGTCTAGTTAACAACAAACTCAATAGATCAATTCAAATCGCAGCGCAAAGGCTGCTGCTCCGAAATGTATCTGGGCGATGAGGAGACGCTGATGAAGTGCTTTTCCATACACTCCGATCGACTGCCAGCCGATGGTGACATGGATATGGCCAAGTCGCTCAAGTTTCTATCGGTTCGTATATAGAAATATTGTATATATAATAATCTAATAATATAATGCAGTTCTGAACCTATTGAAACTGGGTTATATAACTGACTTAACTGTTTCGCTAGGCAACGAGTCGAGTCTAGCTAAGTTTGATCATCTTTCTCTGCGTACGTCATTTGGCTGTCCGTCTAACCTGTCACGCCTGTCCGTATCCTTGTCTGTCTGCCTGTCCTTGCTGTCTCCGTCTGTCATTTGGCTACCTTTTGCCTATACTTTTAACAGGCTGCTCAGTCTTAGTCTCTTGGCATGCCTTATCCTATGTGTCTCTGTGTGTCTGTTCGTCCGTCTGTCTGTCCGTCCGTCTGTCTGTCCGTCCGTCTGTCTGTCTGTCCGTCCGTCTGTCTGTCCGTCCGTCTGTCTATGTCCTTTTGTATGCACACAGCTTAAAGACTTAAGATCTCAAAGATAAGGACTGCGCAAAGATTAGCTCTGCTTCTAGGTGGTTCGTTGGGTTCAGGGCATACGCTAGTCGGGCATACCCGACCGTAGCACACTTAATTATATTCCTGCTGCCTTGCAGTGCTTTGTCGAGTGCTTGTACAAGCAGCGCAAGTATATAGGCAAGAGCGATACGATCAATATGAAGATGGTGAAGCTCGACGCGGAGACTCTCTACGCGGATCGGCCCAAGGAGCAGGCGTATCATATCAAGATGTTTGACTACTGTCGCAAGGATGGTGAGCTGCTTGCGATGCTAACTAACTGGTTGCTGTATTCAACATATATCTTGGCTGCTGTTTAGCTATGAATGTGTACGGGCTGCTGAAGGCCAGTCCGGGCGCCAAGGCCATGCTGAAGAACGCCTGTCGACCCTTCCTGCTGATGGTGTACATATGTCAGACGGAGTATCACAAGAAGCACGAGTGCCCCTACTTTCGGTGGGAGGGCACCGAGAAGGCGGAGACCAAACAGCCGTGTCGAGATGCGAAGGCCAAGTGCTACGAGCTGGACGGGATTACAGCGCCCCAAGAGCATTAGCTTTACTATTCATAAAATCGAACACAGTGTAGACTAAATAAAGTACAAAAAAAAACTCAGTTTATAGTTACATAGATACATAGAACATACACACAGTTTCCAGAAATACATATATATACAAATGTACACAGTGCGCACCGCCACCAAGGCAGATCTGCAATCGATATCGTTGCTCATCAATGAGACGTACGTGAAGTGGTTTGGCAATAAGTGGATCAAGTATGATAGCACGGAGATCTTTAAGACCTATCAGACCCATCGTCTGATCGCCGAGCAGGGTAGCATCATAGTGGCCTATGCGGAGTTTCGTAACTATCCGCGCATCGGGCCGCTGCCCAGCGACAACTGGATGGACTGGCTATATGGAAGATATTGGTAAATAGCTAAATAGCTCTAGCTACCTGACTGACATATGTATACAATCTGACTGATATATATGTATATATACAATTGTCGTGGCCTGCTTCATCAGCATTACAGTCTCCATTAGCTGGCTGAATACCCTGTTCTTTAACTTCTGCATCTATAGAGAGGGTCACGACGAGTCGCTGCTCGCCTTGATACGTGAGGTATTCTATAGGGAGAATCTCGTTTTGAATTTGATAACAGTTCGTGTTCCCGTGCTGGTCGAGGATGTGCACTACTTGGAGTATTTCGATGATCTGGAGAAGTATGCAAAAGTCTTCTACCCGCGCGAGTTTAGCATCACTAGCAACAATAATACCCAGTCCTTGTTCATTGTGTCACGCCACAACGTATTGCCACAAATCACCTATCGCAAGGCACTGTAAATAATATTATATATATGTATCGATTGGGTCCTATATAAATTCCACTTGCTCTCAGACCCGAGGACAACGATGATATCGTTGAGATGCATTCTCGTGAGCTCCCCGAAATGCGCGAGGCTCACGGCGACTTCTACATAGCCGAACAGCTAATGGGCACGGACAAGCAGGACGGGCAGTCGGCCATAATCGTCGTCGAAATACAGAATCGCAATCAGGACTCGCTTACGGCCGGATTCATTTGGCTGAATGCGGACATTGATGTGCGTTACTATGTGACAAACTATGAGATGGAAATGTTTGGCAATCTGGTCAACTTTAATTCCTCCAAGCCCTATGGCTTGGAGGAAATCACCGTTATGTGAGTGATATGTATCTGTAACTATATAGATATATATATATATATATGTATATTTGAACATGCTTTCAGGTCCACGGAACGCACACCGGAGGCCAAACTATTCACAGCCGCTGCCATGGATGATCTGTTTAATGCCACCGTTCTTGGAGGCATGCAATCCAATGACAGTGGCATTAGGTGGGTTCAAATACACTTCTATATGGAAGCTTAGAGTTTGTAAGCAGTTGGCATAAACTGGGTTACAGCTGGTTAATTGTATCCCCTCTTAGTTGCTATATAGAGGTTATCGTTATACATCGATAAATATCGATTACAGTTTTAAAATATATCAAATTAGTTATATAAATAGGTGAATAGACTGAGATATATATATGTGCATATACATAACAAAAATCGATAACATATTCAATATTCTTAATATCGATACATATCGATTTACGCTTATGAACATGATCAGTTTATGTTAAGTCTCTGATATATACAATATATATATATATATATATAGATGTTGTAAGTGCTGTCTCTTAGTTTAGTCACAGAATCATCGATAACCACATCGATAAATATCGATTACAGTTTGCAAATATATTAAATTAGTTATATAAATAAGTGAATAGACTTGGATCTATATATATATATAGATATAACATGAATCGATAACACATTCAATGTTTTTAATATCGATACATATCGATTTCCGCTTATGAATATGATCAGTTTGTTAAGTCTAAGATATATACAAATCTAGATGTTGCAAGTGCTATTAGCTTTGTCATAGATTCATCGATAACAATATCGATAAATATCGATTACAGTTTGAAAATATATCAAATTAGTTGTATAGCTAAGTGAATAGGCATGGATCCATATTTATATATGACTGTCTGTTAGTTTTATCATAGGTACATCGATATATATCGATTTCAGCTCACATTAATTATGTTCCATTCTGTTCTTTGGTCCACAGTGTGCTCAGCCGAAGTAAGCTGAAGGTTAGCTCGATGGACGGCACTATTGTTGAGGACAGTGGCAACACTAGCTGCAATAAGTTCTACGCACGTGAAAATCTCTTTGTCAAGTTTACCTATATCTTCGAGAGTGAGTACCCAGTCTCAGTGTGAAGGCCCCTCCTCACTCTCATGCACGCTTCTGTTGCAGAGCTCGTCAAGCTTAACTACTATATCAATAAGCATGACAAGACTATTGAATTATTTTATAATATCGACTCCAAGTATCGGATAACGTCTAACATTGGCTTAGCATCCAATGTTTTCGAGCTGAAGTTCATTTGCGTGAACGACGAGTTCCCTTTGCCGCGCCTATTCAACTGCCTGAAGGCCATGTACTCGGCTTTTCCAGATCGCGACTATTGCATCATGGTCATACCGCAGAGCGCCAGTACTTTGCGCAGTCATGTCGAGGCGCTCAAATACTTTATGGTGAGTCTGAGTAAATTAAAATTGAAATTTCTACTTATTGTTGTGCCCACCTCACAGCCCGTGGCACAGCGTCCGACTGATTTGACCAACTTGCGGGAGATCTTTATAACGCATCGCAGCACTATCTTTGGCGAGATTAGGTTGGTGGCTGTCCGGAGAGCACTCACGACCCTAAGTTCATCAGTTTTTCTACTCGTTCACGAAGTTAATGGAGTATATAGGCTTTGATCTTCGCAGAGCTGTGCCTCTAACTGCATTCATCCGTTCGTTCGTCCGTTCGTACGTTCGTCCGTCCGTCCGTTCATCTATCGCAGCGACTTCCGTAAGATCGCAAAGCATTTCAATGCTATTGAAGCCAGAAATTTGAGTCTTTTGCATATTTACTTAACTTACCAATTAAAGGCGAGCTTTGCGGAAGGATCAGTCGATTAACCTTCTCTGTCTGATGATCGGACAACTTGGACTTAAAGGTCATCCATTTTTATTCGTGAACGAGTATTGTGCAGTCGGCTCTGTCCAACTGCAACTCACTCACCGCTCTCCCTTGCGCCAGCCTGTATCGTTTGCAAAACGAAGATACGAGTATGATCATTGACATGTTCAGTAAAAATCAGTCCAATGCGTCGTGCAACAGCAGCTACGCCTACAATTCGAACGTGAACGTATTCGCAGACGTTGAGAACGAGTTGCAGGTGGTAAAACAGATAATGATCGATGTGCTAAGTAACGATAGCTCCAAATACGACTTCTTTACCATACGCTGTGGCAATTCGACCAAGTCGGCCCAGGAGAATACGGCCGTGGGCTACGTGATATTGCGCAAGTATCTGAATCGCCACGAGCTGCTGTATCACTTCCATTTGCCCAACAACGATCAGCACCTGGCAAACGAGAGGGCCGCGATCATATCGCTGCGCCTGCATCCGCTCTATCACAACTGCAGCGACTCGATCTTCCGGAATCTGGCGGCCAAGACGGACTACAACGACTTCTATTTCATATGTGCACGTAATGTAGGATCATGCTGAATATATATATATGTGTAGGAAAGGACGAAAAAGGACCTTTTTTTGCAGAAATTTATGTTCAGCAACGATTTGAAGAGCATGATGATGCAAATCGAGCCGAGTGCCAAGAAGCGCAGCTTTTTCAACGTGAATCAGGAAGAGAGTACGGAGAGCTCCTTTGACGGTCTGCCCGAGTTCGACTACTTCAATGATCATCTGGTTGTCTTCCGCCACAAGTTGAATCCGACGCAGTGGTTCGGCAAGAATACGCATCTCGTCGTCATTGGGTTTACGGCTGTGGCTAAGGCCTTTCTGCGCCAGCTCTACTTTCAGTGGAATAGCAAGGAGTAAGTGCAGCCAGACTCAATCCTTGAACTCCTTGGCCAATCCGTTTGATCTGTGTTCTCTGCAGCCACACCAACTCGGAGTCCTTCACCTGTTTGTCACGCTTGAAGGTAACAGTCATAGCGTCGCCTGGCCTCGTGGAGGCCGAATATGATTGCATGTTCGTGTGTCCCCATTGTAAGTCGCACAAGCATTGCTATCTCCACTGTCAGAATTATTCCTGCTATGTCCGTGACACGATCAAGCGCATGGACTTGCGTCTCCGCGTGCACTTCGTGGCAGGCGATGTCAACTACATTAACAGGTGAGTCGCACGGCGACTAGAGTCCACGATACTCACGGCCATCAACCCTCGCAGAGAGAGTAAATACGTTAAGATCAATCACACCTGCGACGTGGAGTACGACACTTTGCTGATCATGGACTATAAGAGCTACAACCTGCCCCTAAACAATGGGCCCGCGGTGCCCTCCAATTTCATTGAGATCAACAGTCGCCTGGATAAGTTCCTTCTGTTCTATAAGCTACGCGTGCTGACCGAGGAAGTGGACCGCATCTATGCGATACTCGTCTACGGCAGCAACTTGAGCACCTATGAGTGCATTGACTTTCTGCTCACTCACGGCGTTGAGCCCAAGCGGATTATCCTGGTCCAGCCGGTAGTGAAGGCTGCCACCGAGAGCGAGCAGAAACTGAATTGCCCCTATATTGATGAGAATATTCAGTGTACACTCGATGACATGCTGACTGACTTGGGCGTTGTCATACACACAAATCTCAATCTATCCCGGTGGGAGAAGCATGAGATGGCCAATTACATCATCGAGGCGGTCTTCACTGCCTTCAAGACCAAGAAGACGATTAAGTTCGACTGCGATCTGTTCATATCGTTCAACGACGGCTACATGGATGCAGTCACTGAGGATTGTAAGTCCCCGAAACGATGAATCGTTTGGCCTACTTACTGTTAATTCATTTGAAACAGGGCTAAAGAAGTCGAAAATTGCATTGAAGGACAATATGATTTTGGTCAATAAGAACTTTCAGACCAGCGATCCAGACATCTATGCTGCCGGCAAGTTTATCAAGGTGATTGAAACTGTCAACCATCAGTATCAATTCACAAATGAGATGGAGACAGCCCAAAAGGTTTGCATGGAACTCGGGGTATTTCCTAGTCGTGCACTCCCTTCACAATTGCTCTGTCCTTCCTTTAGCTCATGCAAATACTGGATCTAAAGAAGTTCGACAAGCCGCTCGAGTACAAATACTCGGAGTGCACATTCTTTACGGCTTTGCTGCCGCTCTCGTATTACATCACAAAGCTGACGATGCCGCGCCGTTATATGGCCACTCACCTGCTCACCTGCAACAAGTACACGCTGAGTACCTACCACGAGGAGGGCACTTTCTGTCGCATTGGACTCAGCCAGAAGATGATCGTGGATGAGATCGTTGTGGTTTCGAAACATGTGAGCGGCGTCTTCATCAGCTTCTATAGCAGATATATATATATATATATATATATATATATAACCCTTTGCAGGCTGTCAATCTTGACTTTCTGGAGCATTTCTGTGGCAAGCACGAGAAGATGTTGAACAATTTGAAGGCTCGCTACCACGCCGGCTCCATCAACTGCCTTCTGCAATTTCTGCAGCAGCCCTGGACGGAGCTGCTGACCCATGTTGACTTCAAAGAGTATCAAGAAGAGAATCATAGAATACTTTTGCCCATGCTACAAAGTATGCATAAGGTAATAAGACACAGGCCAAGACTTTTCCGATTGTTATCGACCTGAAACTGTTCTGTTTCCAAGAAGGCAAACTTTCTGGCACGAAGCTGATCTGCATAGGGAACTTGAGTGTTCTATAGATCATTTACTCTGCCAAAGTTTTTCTGCTTTCAAAACTGCTTCTGGATCTCTATTAAGTTAGGCTTTCGAGACAAGCTCTACTTTAGCATAGGCTGAATCTGAAGCAGAAACTGGAGTAGATATTTTGCAGCAAGGTCTCAAATTTGAGTTCAGCGAGTGATTTTCGGTTACTAAATCTTGGCGCTTTGTCCATTTTTAGGAGCCGTGCTATCAACTGCAAGAGTTCAATCAACATATATTGGAGCAAAATATGTTAGATTTTATAAGGAGGCACCGGCAGGACTTCCATCACGAATTTGCCCTACCCGAGGACTACTGCACCGAAGACGCCAAGGGCGCCGATTGCAAGATCTTGCGACGATCTTACAAGTAAACCAACAAAGAAACATAAAAAAACGAACCAAACTGAGTAGCACAATGAAATTCCACTCATAAAAACATACAAATAAATACGTAGGCAGATATAATATACATATATATATATATATATATATATATATATATATATATATATACATATACATATGTATACATATATATATTTACTTGATATAATGGATACATTGGAAGAGTTTGTGATACGCACGGCGAGCAAATTTGATCTAGAGCAATTGGGACTTCTTTTTACCGACGATTCGACCAAACGTTTTGGAGACAAGCAGGACCTGTCCCTGAATCAACTATTCATTGAGTATCAATCGCATCGCTTCGTTGTTCACTTGGCTGGATCGCCGCAGACTCTGTTGGCCTACGCTGAGTTTTGTATATATCCCAATATTCCGGTGCTGTCAAACGATTTGTGGCCGCAATGGTTGAAGTGTCGTTTCTGGTGAGAGCTCAAGCACAGGCCTTACGTATGCCATACTCATGAGATCTGTCCTGCTTACAGTGTGGACGTGCCACTTACACTAATGAATACGATGTTCTTTAACTTTTGCATATATAGTCAACGTCATACAGATATACTGAAAGAGCTCATCATGGAGTTATTTTATTGTGAGCACAAGATAAACTATTTGATAGTAGCTAGGCCGCCGAGCTATTCTTTCCAAGCATACGCTCAGATGGAAGACTTTGGCAGGGTCTATTACCCAAGCAGCTTCGATATGTTCGACTGCAAGAACTTGCCCACGATTATAGTGATATCGCGCGAAAGGTTTATGCCTATCATAGTCTTTCGCAAGGCCCTGTAAGTAGCGCTCCGCTCTAACGCTTGAGTTCTTTACAGTGTCGAGTCGACTCATCCTGCAGGCCTGAGGACAACGATGATGTCATCGATATGATCGATGTTGAGGAGCCGCATATGCGACACGAGCACGGAGACTATTTTATAGCAGAGATTCTATTGGGTACATCTGGCAGCAATATGGATGATGATAAAATTATCGTTACGGAGGTAAGGGCGACGTTTCCTCAGCTAAGCCTTCGCTCCCTCTCAATGCACTCTCTTTCAGGACGACAGGTCTGTTGCCGATGGCAGCACGGGCATGATGTGGCTATCAACCGCCACGGACATAGAAGAGTTGATCAGGAATTTCGATTTGGAGAGCTTGGGCAACCTGGTGACCTGTACTCCCGACGTACCGCATGGCACTGTTCAGTTCGAAGTCTTGTAAGCTCTCAGAGATTGATTCGCCTTAGTTCACATTGGAAAACATTAATTTGTCCACGTGCAGCACGGCCGAGCAGCGCGAATACTTCAATCTGCGGCCAAAGTTGGCTTTCCTGCCGGAAGAACGTGTGACAATAAGAACCCCAGCGGACGGCCCTGGTTCAAAAGCAGCAGAATCGCAAGGGATTGACTTACTCTATACAAATTTCAAATACATACGCGACGGTAAGTCAGGGCTGCATGTGCAAAAGAAATTTAAGCTACGATCCCTGCAGAGCTCCACAATCGCAGCAACTATTTGGATAAGGTGGCCAAGACCTTGAACATAGCATTCGACATACCAGGACACTATCATAAGAAGAGGAAGTACTCATTGCAGGACGCCTCGAAGGCGTTCGGACTGAAGAACTTCATACTGCACCCCAGTTTGCGACTGGAGTACACCTATTATTACCTCTGCGCCATGTTCAGCGCCTATCCAGATTGCGATTATTGTGTGGTGTCCGTTTCGCCAGGCACCAAGTACTCGGTCAGCCTGTGGGCTCTCCTCCAGTTCTTTATTGTGAGTTCACTTAACGATTAGGTCTGTCTCTCTCATCCCCTGTTTGTTAGTATATCTGTCTCCTTCTTTTTCATTCCATCTTTCTCTCTTTCATTACCTATTCTCCTCTCTCTCTCTCTCCCTCCCCCTCTCAATCTCCTGCTTTAGCGCGTACAAAATCGTCCCAGCTGCAATGTCTCCGACGACGTCTTCATCGCACATCGTTCATCGATATACACCGAACTGAGTGTTTATCGATTCGTTAAGGAAGATCTCGATGATATTTACAACTTGCTGCTTACTGATAATAAATCAAGAACGGAGTCCGGAGCTCGCAGCACGTACAGGCACTTATATGTCAAGATGAAGAAGAGCTCCCAGATGAAAATTGTGAAGCAGATAAGTAGCGACGTTATCCACAATAAGCTGTCGGAGTTCAGCTTCTGGGTCATTCGCTGTGGCCATACGAGCAGGGACAATACCACAACGGTGGGCTTTGCTATATTGCGGTAAGTGGGCGTGGCATTTGGGTATTACGTCCCCAGGTTGCAAATGTGTTCGTTCTGCAGTCCCTTCTCGGACTATGAGGCGGTTTATAAGCAATTCGTGTTGCCCCACGACGACGGAAATCTGACGTTTGAGCGCGGCGAGATTGTGATGCTGTGCCTTCATCCCTACTTCCATATGTGGTCGGATGAGCTGCTGCGCGCGGTAGCCATACGATCGGGCTTTCGAGAGATTTTCTACTTACAGGAAATTAAGGGCGACGCTCTGTCCAACGACCTGGCCCCCAAGATGATGCCCGTGGAGCCGCGACGAATGCGCCGCAATTGGTTTATCGATACTCAGGCTCAGGAATGCTATCGGCGTATATCGGATCAGGTGGATCTTTCGCAAATCAACTGCGTCACGGACGAGTTCTATCTGCTACGTCACAACTTAATGCCATCCAAATATATTGGCAACAAGAATGCGGTCGTCATCGTCGGCTTCTCGGACGTCTGCAAGGCTTTTCTCCGCCTCATGATCTTCAACTGGAATACGCCCGAGTAGGAGCTGCGCATTACATTGTACCCATAACTAACGACTCCTGTTCCTAGCTACAAATATGTGAGTGTCAACAACTGCCTGCCCCTACTGGACATAACGGTAATTGCGGATCACGGCGAAGTCGAGGCAGAGTACGATCTAAATGTCCACTGTCGCTACTGCACAGAAAAGAAAGACTGCTACATGTGCAATGCGAACAGCTGCCCCTTTGTCATGGACACCACGCAGCGGCTGGACATGCGCAACTACATTAACTTCATCTCGGGCAGTGTGGAGATCATCAATCGGTATGTAATTGGCTTTAATCTAGCAGCATGTGCAAGTCTATATTACGTATACGCAGCCAGGAAAAGTACCTCGGCCTGGATAGCCACTGCAAGATCTATTACGATAAGCTGCTGCTGCTGTGCGACACGAAGCACGGACTGCCGGAGTCATACGAGCATGTCCTTCAGAATCAAGACCTGCCGTACAACTATGCGCAGATCAATGGACGATTGGACAAGATCGAGCTGTACCACAAACTGACAGAGTTCAACAAAGCCGATTTGCCCAACAACGTAATCATCGTCTATGGCAGCAATTTGGCCACCTATGAGGGCATTAATTTTCTGCTGACCCACGGTTGTCCGGCATCCAAGATTGTGTCTGTCCAGCCGCATAGGATGGTGCATTCGCAGTTCGAAAACAATCCCACGAGTGACAACAATTTGGAGATCATCTTGCTGAATATGATTACTGACTTGGGCATCACCGTCTATGAGTCGTTCAGATTGGAAACCTTTTGCTACTATCCGTCGAGTAACTTCATAGAGAAAGTCCACTTCAAGCGTTTTCCCAGCAACCAAGACGTGTACCTGTACTGCAACCTGTTTATCAATTACATGGAGAACTTCCTGCCGATGCGCATTGCCCGAAGTGAGTTAGCCATTAATATGAAATGATATAGTTTAGTGCAGCAACTTGAAGTTGTCTTTCAGTGCTACGCTTGAGCAAAATCACAGTGGAGGACAGCAGGATCTTGGTCGATGAGAAATATACTACGAATGATGAGTTCATTTATGCAGCCGGCAATCATGTGTCATTTGTCTGGGAAGTCTTCTATCAGCATATATATACCAATGAACGTGAGATGGCTCAAAAGGTGGCTAACACTTTAGCCTGTAAGATCTTCAGAATGTTTTGTATATGTTTCCCTTTACAGTTGTTGGACATTTTGGACCTGGGCATGGAGAAGCAATTCAGGGAGAATAAGTTCGGAAAGCCCTGCGTCTTTCACGCTCGTCTGCCTCTTAATCATATGATTATAAAAATAACGGCACCCAAGCGTTATTTATTGGGCAATCTGCCGAATGAGTACAGCCACATCATAAGCACCTATGACGGCGACTTCTGTCGAGTGCGCATGAATCCCAAGTTATTTGTCGAGGAAATCGTGTGTGTGACACGTAAGGTAGGTAGGATCATGAGCGCATATATGCATGCATATAGCATTTTCCTATATTCGTATGCCAGCTGGAGCGACCTTTGTTTTTTCTGGAGTACTTTTGTGGACGACATGTTACACTGCTGAATAATTTGCAACATCGCTGGAAAATGGGTATGATTAAGAGTTTCATTACCTATTTCGAGGAACCGTGGACAGAATATATAATGCACGATCGCTTCGATGAGATGCAGGTGAAGAATTATGAAGCCCTCAAGTCGATGCACCAGCACATGATCAGCAAGTTCAATACTGTTCGTGATTCAGATTTTAGGGATGCGATCAAACACTTTCTGGAAGCGAATCTGCTTCAATTTCTGCGCAAATATCGTGATGAATTTGTCAACAAGTTTGCCCTGCCAGAGGATTGGACCACTTAAGATATATGTATATATCTTTATTCTATTAGGGTTTCAGCTTAGTGTCTCTGGCTTGGCTATAGGAGTACAACACATTTAAGCCCAACTGCTCGAAGTACCCCTGCAAAACAAATGTTATTTGCATATTAGTTTAATGAAAGTCTTGCATACCTTTAAGCTGAACATTTTATTATCTATATTTTTTATGCTGGCCGAAAGGTAAAATAATTCATGAATTTCAACAATGAAATAAATTCAAATTAAAGAAAAATTAATAAATACTGCTAAATAGAATACAGATAATAAAAAATCGTTAGTAAAGATTTCTTAACAAAATACTATAATATAACTAATTATAAAACATTAATAATAAAACGAAATATTAGCAATAATTTAAAAAAATTAATAATTAAAAAAAATAATAAATAATAATAATATACTAAAAAAAAATAAATAATATTAATAATTAAAAATTAAATTAAAAGTATATATTTTATATAAATAATAATATAAAACAAACATGAATCATATTTTATTTGGTCGGAGGAACTAGTTTTTTGGCCCACGATTCGGCTGGAGATTTTCATGAAGTACCAGGCGAACAGAAATGAGAAAAGAGTTTCTAGCTCAGCGAACTTATTTCCATTGCATACTTTTGGGCTGCGAATGTATTTCAAATTTATTATTTTCATAGCATACTTTTGTGATGACCAACAAAAGGGCAGCTTGAGAAGAACTCGCCACAAACGTTGCAATTGTAACAATTTTTCCAGGTTTAATTTTACTTTACAATAAATTGAAATCAAAATTCTTATGACATTTCGTTAGTATATTTATTTATTGTATTTGTTTAGGTTATTACACATTTGGATCAAATTGTAAGTGCAATAATAACATTGTTTTACATAGGTCTACAACTATAAGAACAGAAAGCTATTTATCGTAGCGCCAAAGCCTTTGTGCCTTTGCAGCTCAGGCCTTCTTCCTTTTTTGTTTTAGCCTTATGGTTATCGATTCGTTTTGTTTCGTTCGGTTTTAAAACTTAACTAGTTAGTACTCGTAACATATTTATATGTATATATATATTTGAATAAATATATAAATGGGTTGATCTCTGCGATCTAGATTTTTAGCTAGTTGTTTATACCCCACATAAAAACTATATATATTTTTGTGGCATTCCCTAAAGCGGCACACAGGCGGCACGACGCGACACCTGCTGTTGATGATGCGTTGCCGCGACCGGCTGATAGCGTATGGACGGGCTGAGGCCACTGGGGAAGACGATTATGGGATGGTTGATCTGGCCTCATATGCCCTGTAAGTACCTTCGTAACTCCTCCTCAGTGTCGAAGATCATGACGGGGAACGGCGAGCCGGGCACAAATTCGCCAGCCCATTTCACCTCGACGCGATAGTCACCCGGCTCCGTTGGATCGTACTGCAAATTTAAATGAAATTCAATTAAAAATTAAATTTAGAACAATTTGTTTCAGCTCGCTTGCTCACCTTGCATAGAATGGTGCGATCCTTTTGGCTCTCGCGCTGCATTTCGACGCGGAAGGCGCCTTTGGGTCCGCGAACGCGCACCGTCAGTTGCCCAGCGCCTGCGCCGCGTGTGTCGCAAATGAAGCGCGACTGGAAGGTGGCTAGAACACCATGCTCAATACCAGGACCATAAACGCGCACCTGTTGGAGAATCGTTATCAATGTTAGATCATCAGCTGAGCTATCAAAGTGCTCTTCACTTACTTTGCTGGCATCTGGGGCGCCCGCTACTTTAAGCGCAAAGGGAGAGCCCGGCACATTCTGTCCGCCGTATTTGATGGTCAGCAGATGGCGACCCGGCTCTTGCGGCTTTATATTCAGCGTAAAGGTAGCATCGCCATGATCGTACAGCTCACAGTAGGCCACCTTGCGTGCGCCGGCGCAGTGAGCGGTCAGCTCGCCAGGGCCAGCGCGTCGCGTGTCTATCCAGGATTTGATGTCTTTGCCAACGATGCCGTGACGCAGACCCTCGCCCGACGCGATCACCTTTGAGGCGTCCATGGACGATCCAACAGCCACGGTCAGCGGACAGCCCTTGACCAGACGTCCATTCCACTTCACCGACAGCGTCAGCGTGCCTGTCATGGATTTCTGTGGCGTATACGAGGCCAGCCAGATATTTTCGCTGGGTCGCGGCTGGGCCAGGCTCACGGGCAGCGCAGTGCTGTCTTGCGTGATCAATATGACCTCCGGTCGACCGGCAGGCGCATTGGACGCATCGATGGTAAAGTGTGCTGCCTCGCCTGCTTGGGCGGCAGCCAAGCCGCGGCCCATCAGGACCACCTTGTCGGCGGCCTGTTGGCCCGTGACGAAAGCGCTGCGCGGGCACTGCGTGATGGTCAAGCCCGACCAGGTCAGGTCCAAGTCGTGCTCACCGGCGGCCAAGTTGTCGCCTGTGATGTTGAGGCACATTTTGCCATCGGCCAGCTTGTCCACGGGTATTTCGATGCCATCGATGCTGCAGACCAACTTGCCGGGTCCCGCGTTCTCCACATCGAAGATGATGCGCGCCGGCAGTATCAAACGGCCATCATGATCCACTAGAGTGCCCCAACCGCCGACGGGCGTAACCTTTGTAGACTCCACGCAGCAGACGCGCCACGGCGAGCCGGGCAGACTGCCACGGTTGGGGCAGCTGGCGCGTATCTCATAGGTGCCAACGGACAGGATGACGTAGGAAATGCGCCATTCGTTGTTGCCCAGCGCCTTAATCTTGGGCTCGATGCGTTCGCCAAACTCGTCGACGCGTTCGATCTGTACATTGGGCGCAATGGGGCAATAGACAACGAAGGAGGCCTCCTTGTTGCGGTGACACACCTCCAAGCCGTGGCCAGCAGCGCGTGCATCATTGCGCACGCCACTAGCCGAGGCGCTGAAGTTGAGCGGGGAGCTGGGAATCGTCTCGCCACCGTACATCAGCGTTAGCTTATAGTTGCCCGGCTGCGACGGCACAAATTCGACATTGTGAATGCCCTCGGACTGTTCGGTAATGAGCACGGGCAGGCTCTGGTTGGTAGGTGAAATGGCGAAGGCTTCCAGCTCGGCAGTGCCGGCGCTGTCTGTGCGCACCGTGAAGCTATTGGAGCTATGCAGCGCCAGTGGCTCTTTGCTGACGCCCTGCACGCTCACCTTGCTGCTGTCGAAGGCCTCGCAGGTGAACGGGCTGCCGGGCAGCGGCTTCGATTGATGCAGCACCTCTGCAAAGTATGAAGATTAGTTAGGAGCAGGAGCAACTATGTGGGCACGACCTACCTATAACACATTGACCCGGCTTGTTGATGCTGAACTCTGCCTGCAGATGTCCGTTCTTTGTCTGGTAGCAGCGCACGGGCAGCGCCTGGCCGCCAGGTCCAGAGACGACCACATCGAATTCTCGTGCCGGCCGCTTAACTGTATCGATGGCAAAGGAGGTGGTCTTGCCAACGCGTGCCTGATACAGACCCAGGCCGCTCACGCTGATCTCCTTGCCAGCGCTGGCGGGCAGCACATTAATCTCGAGTGGCTTCAGCGAAATGGGCACATCGTTGAACAAAATGCTGATCTTGTGTGGAGCGACGCGCGTCGGCTGATAGACAATCTCATAGACGCCCGACTTGCTGGGCCCGCGTATGGTGTGCGGCACTTCGGTGACGCCGCAGCGCACCAACGCCGACAGATCACCCTGCCCCGCCTCGTTCAGGGAGACGCTAATGCTGGCCGGCCGATGGCAGAGGGCCTCGCCCACCTCGGTGATCTTCACCAGCATGGGATCAAAGGCGCACAAGGTGCGTGTGCCAATGTGCTGTCGGGTCTCTCGGTCGATGAAGCGCAGCGTGTAATTGCCGGTCGAGTGAGTGCGGAACTCCGCTGTCTGGCGATTGATGGTGTAGGGCACGGGCTTCTGGTCGGGCGCCAGTATCTCGACAATCTGATCGTCAGCTGGAAAGTCAATGGCGGCCAGGCTGCCAATCTGTATGTGCTGTGTGTGCTGCTGTATGTCCACACGGAAGGGACTGCCGTCGACGGCCACCTCGTTGAAGGTGATGTTGACATAGTGCGGCTCGGTGCTCTGCGGCACAAAGGTCACGTCGTAGAGACCGCGGGCACAGGCCACCACTTCGGCTTTGACAGTGCTGCTGTCGGTGGACACCACCAGCTCAAGCGTGCCCTCGCCAGCGCCAGCTGCATCCACACTGAAGGTAACCGGCACGCCCAGTGTCGCCGGCCCGTATTGCTGCTCCAGGCCGCTAATGCTGACGCGCGAGACGTCGAAGACATTGCAGCTAAATGGCGATCCGTTGATGTGCTGATCATTGGCCAGCACACTGATCAGATGACGACCCACAGTGCTGGGACGGAAGGAGGCGCTGTAGCTGCCGCCATCGTGCTGACTCAGCTGGCAGTGCTCGTTGTCGCCAGCGGGCGAGGTGACGAATATCTGTGGCTCGATGCCCTCGAAGCCCTCCAGCTCGAATGTGTTGTCCATCTTGACAGCGGCCTGCTTTAGGCACTCGCCCACGGCCTGGGCACGCGGCAAGCCCAGCGTGCTGGCGGGAGCAGCTGCAATGTGGCAGCTAAACGGTGACCCGGGCACCGGATGCCCGTTGAAGCGCACCGACAGCGAATGGGCCGCCGCCTCCGTGGGCTTGAAGTTAACCTTGAAGCGGGCATTGCCCTCGGATTGCACAAAGTTCGGCACATTCTTGCCGTTGACGGCGACGATGATCTCCAAGTTGCCAGCGCCCGCCTGTGAGGCATTGATGCCGAAGCTGACGCTCTTGTTGACCACGCCGGGTCGTATGTCCGTCACGATGACCTTCTCGGCCGAGTAGGCCTTCAGCAGGAAGGGACTGCCCTCCACATGACCACCGCCAGGCAGTCGCACCTCCACCGAATGATCACCCACCTCCATGGGCTCGAACTTGACATTGTAGCCCAGCGCAGAGCCAAGTGCATCGATCTTTACGGGCACACTGCGTCTGGCCGGGCCGAGCACCTCCACGGTTGGCTTCGTGTCAGACTCGACCACAAACTCAAAGAGTCGTCCCACGCTCACCTTGTCCATGGTCTCGGGCGATTGAATGCGTGCGGCAGCTGCCACACGGCACGTAAAAGGCGAGCCGGGCACATCCTGGCTATTGAAGCGCAGCTCCACCGTATGGCTCTCGGCCTCGCGTGGCGTGAAG